ATCTCCTGTCATACTGTTTATTATGTGTCCAATTTTCTATATTTGGCTTAATCTCATGTAGTTTATTGTGGACTTGTGCATTCCACACGTTTTACCATTTCTCTGCTAGTCGTTTTTTAACTACTAGCTTCAAATCATCTCCTTCGATACGCATTATATGCTGTAAAGGAGTAGCTGACTTTGCAGCTGCGTCAGCTTCTTCATTACCTTTTATACCTACGTGGCCTAAGACCCAACAAAATTTTACAAAGAAATTACTCGCAGTAAGATGGCAAAACAATTTGCGAATTTTAATCACTATAGAGTGAGAACTAGGTTCACATGAAATCAAAGCCTGAAGTGCACTAACTGAGTCAGTGTAAATAACACAGGAACGATGACCTTTCCTATTTATATACTTTAAAGCTAAATGAATAGCATGCAGCTCTGCAGAAAAGATGGAAGAATTCAATGCAATTTGTTCTGCCACGATTTCATCCTGGCAGACAAAAGCTGAGCCAACGTAATCATCAGATTTAGATCCATCTGTATAAATAGGAATTAAATTCCTGTCATGGTGTTGAATTTCTGCAAAGTGCTGTCTGTAGACATAATCTGGGGTGGATTCCTTTGGAAATTGCTTTAAGCTAAAGTCAACATTTATCACAGGAGTTGACCAAGGAGATATGCTACAGACCTCTAGCTGTGAAATGTTGCCTGTGTTCAGGTCAATCGTGCTGCTCACATTCTCCATTCTTACGGCGAATGAAGGGACACTGCTTGGGCGAGCTTCAAATAACCTTTTCAGCTGAGTATCTAATACTGTACAATCAACTGAAGGTTTAGAGTAAGATTTCTGTTTTATATAGTAAAATAGAGACAACTGTTCTCTCCTGAGAGATAGTGGAGGCTCATAAGCATCCACATACAAACTTTGTACAGGGGAAGTTCGAAAAGCACCAGTGCACAAACGTAGTGCTTGGTGGTGGATTGGATCCAGCATCTGAAGAGTAGATTCTCGCGCAGAGCCATAAACAATGCAACCGTAATCCAGCTTAGAGCGGACAAGGGCCCTATAAATCCTGAGCATAGAAACTTTGTCTGCTCCCCAGGATGAGCAGCATAGTACCTTTAAAAGGTTTAGAGATTTTAAACATCTACTCTTCAGGTTGCGCAAGTGTGGCAAAAATGTCAGTTTTGGGTCGAAATAAACACCCAAAAACTTAGCCTCATTCACCATTGGAATTTTATCGCCATTTAGGTGAATTTCAGGATCCGGGTGCAAACCACGCCTTCGGCAGAAGTGGATGCACGATGTCTTCGCTGCATTAAACGTAAACCCATTGGTCTTGGACCAATCATATATGCGATTTAGGGAAGTTTGAAGTTGTCTCTCAATGAAACTCATATTACTAGACTGACAGGAGATCTGAAAGTCATCTACATACAAAGAGTGTTTCACACTGGGAGGGAGACAGTTAGCTATGCTGTTAATTTTAATTAGGAACAGAGTCACACTCAAAATAGAACCTTGAGGAACACCTTCTTCTTGTGTGAAGAGCCTAGATAAAGCGTTGCCCATCCTAACTTGGAATCTTCGATTCTGTAAAAAGTTTTTTATAAAAATTGGCAAATTACCCCGCAATCCGAATTGGTGTAGATCACGAAGTATCCCGTATCGCCAACAGCGATCATAGGCCTTCTCTATGTCAAAAAACACAGACACTAAGTGCTGTCTTCGAACAAACGCTTCGCGTATAGATGTTTCAAGGTTTACCAGGTTATCAGTGGTACTTCTGTTCCTACGAAAACCACTCTGATGTGGTGAAAAGTATTCCTTTTTCTCTAAGAGATACATTAGACGCCTGTTTACCATTCTCTCGAAAAGTTTACAGAGACAACTTGTCAGAGAAATTGGTCTGTAATTAGAGGGATTCTTGTGATCTTTACCAGGTTTGGGAATGGGAATAATGATAGATAGCCTCCAAGAGTCAGGAAAAGTATGTTCTGTCCATATTCTGTTAAACAGATGCAAGAGATTAGAAAGGGAATTGTTTGACAGATTTTTAATCATGCTGTAGTGGATTTTATCCGGGCCTACAGCACTATTCCCCGAGCGAGAGATTGCTGTATGTAATTCAATTCTAGTGAATGGCACATTATATTCCTCATTAGATAAGGAGTAAAAGTTTAAACACTGTTTTTCTCTTTGGGCTTTATAAGCTTGAAAATTCCTTGAATACGTGATATTGCTGGATGAAGCAGAAAATGTTTCACCCAATAAATCAGCAATACCCTGTATATCGCTGATTATTGTGCCATTATTTTCCAGCATGGACAGAGAGTGAGAAGCATATTTCCCATTAATTTTATGGATTTTATCCCAGACTGCTTTTGAGCTAGTGGAAGATGTTATGCTTGAAACATACTTCCTCCAAGAATCCCTTTGGCTTTGCCTCCTTATTCTTCTGGCATTTGCCTTTGCTTTTTGAAAAGCAACCAAATTTTCAGCAGTGGGGTATCTTCTAAAAATCCCCCATGCTTTCTTTTGTGCTTTAAATGCTGCCTCACAATTCTGGTTCCACCATGGTTTCGGATGTTTTGGATATCTAGTTGATGTCTTCCCCATTGTTTTTTCTGCTGCCTGAATGATACTCGAAGTGACAACCTCAACTGCATCATTGATATCAGCAGTATTGACCATTTCCTCAGTGATGTTAGCCAAAGTGGAAAATGAAGGCCAATCTGCCGTTTCAAGTTTCCAGCGTGGTGGACGGGCTGTTTCACAGCTTTCTCTGCCTCGATATTTTAGAAATATTGGGAAGTGGTCACTAGAGAGTGGATTAGATCCAACCTCCCATGTAAATGCTGAAAACAGATTCGGAGTTGCTAATGATAGATCAATGGCAGTGAACGTTCTTGATGGGGCATGGAAGTATGTCACTTCTCCAGTATTAAATAGATACAGTTGGTGATTACCTATAAATCTCTCGATGGCTCTGCCTCGACGATTGATGTCAGGACTGCCCCACATAGGATTGTGACCATTGAAGTCACCCAGTAAAAGAAATGGTGTTGGTAGCTGTTCAACCAAAGTATCCAATTCATTCTCATTCACTCTGACATCTGGTGGCAAGTATATAGAACAAACTGTGACAGTCACTCCAACAGAAATTCTGACTGCCACAGCTTGCAAATCAGTTGTTATTTGTACCGGCAAGAATGGGGTGTGATTTGAAACTACAATAGCCACACCGCCACTGGCACGGTTGTGGCTATCATCATCCTTGCAGTAGAGATTGAATCCTTTTAAAGTAATTCTCTCTCCAGGTTTCAGATAGGTTTCCTGGAGTGCCACGCAGAGAGATGATGTAAATGATGTCAAGTGTTTAATGTCAAAGAAGTTGTTGCGAAAACCACGACAGTTCCATTAAACTATTTTATAATCCATTATGTGTTTGAGGCAGCATTCTTTGTGAAGGTATTCCTCTTTAGTTTTATGGCTGATTTGCCTTTCGGAGGTGAAGTTGGTGGTGTCACCTCCTTATTAGTCTCCTCGTCAGAGAAGTCGAAGAACTCACTCATAGACTGAGCCTCTGATCTCTTGGATTTGGAGATGGCTGCTTTTAATTTTTGTTTGTTGAGCGGGTTCTTAGCAGCCTTCTTGGAACCCACGTTTCTTGTCATTACTCCTGTTTCTGGTAGAAGTGTTTTGGCTTTCTTAATCTCCTTTTCTGATGTTTGGGTAGTTGGGAGAATTAAACATTTCACATGGCGGGTAAGAGATTCACTAGGAGAGACAGAAATATCTGTTTGTACCCCACATGTCTTTGTGGATTTCAAAACAGCAGCAAATGTTTTCTGTCTCAAAGGTGCAGTTGAAGTCACCATACGACGAGCCTCTGGGTAAAGTATGTTGTTGACTGTTTTCACCCGTTGTATCTCCTTTTCTCTTTGCCATGCAGGGCATTTTCGAAAGTAAGAAGGATGGGCATCTTTGCAGTTAACACAGCATGGGGTACTGGTACACTCGGTACTCTCGTGACCTTCAGTCCCACACTGCATATACGCTCTTGCCACGGCAGGATGTCTGTGAATGTCCAAACCGCTGGCATTTGAAACAACGCAGCAAATTTGGAACGTACGGACAAACAGGGCAGCGCAGATAACCTGCTGTAATAAAAGATGGCAATGTCGGCTTGTTAAAGGGGAGAATTAAATGTTTTGTTGAAATTAACTTGCCATCCCGACGTATCAAGATACGCCGAACAGCAGTGACCCCTTGGTCTGAAAGGCCGATCTGAATATCTGATTCGTCTTCTGATATCAGATCAATCTCAGATATCACACCGCGTGATGAGTTTAAACTTCCATGAGGTGTGACTGAAACTCCCATATCTCCAAGTCTATTCATTGATAAAAGCTTTGTTGTTTGTTGAGGAGAGGCTGTTTCAACCAGTAGGTCCCCTGACCTCAATTTTTGGATTTTTTTTAAATGTCCTATGGTAGATTCAAATAATTTGTGAATCAAAAAGGGAGAACACTTAGATAGAGGTTTATCTCCAGTTGCATGCACTACTAAGAATGCTGGCTGACTGGATGTCTTCACATTTGTTGTTTCTGGCTTGTCTGTATTTTTATTTTTAGAAGAATCCATAATGATAATTATTTATTCAGCTCCTGGTGACCCCACCCACCATGGGGCCCAACAAGGGGATGCCGTCACATGGGAGACTC